TTAAGGAAATATTTAATTTTCTAAATAAAACGGTATACAAAAGTGGTTTTTGGCCACCATATTTAGGATGTAGATTAAATAGTGACTTACAATATTTAGTTCTTGATGGATATATCTTAATTGCATAAAATACAAATGAATGTACTACAAACAATCCACAGATTATATAACCAGTTTCATTCCTAAATCTATCTTTAAGTCAAATTTGTATGTAAATTGAAAGTTAGTGCATCTGTGGTATTGTGAATTTACTTGATAGAGATTTTCTATCCTAAGTCTTCTAAACTCCCACTAAATCACTGGGTTGTTGTTGTTAGGTGTCATCAAGTTGGTTCTGACTCATGGAGACCCTAAAGCACAATAAAACCAAAGTGTCCCATCTTGGACCATCTAACATTAAGTTTGAGCACATTGTTTCTGCCACTGTGTCAATCCACCTTATTGGGATTAGTCTTGCAAATAGGGTGTACAAGACTGTAATGCTGGGATCTGTTAGTTTTGCCATGCTGCTAGATTTGGTAAGAGAAGCCATTTCAAAAATAGAAATACACAATCCCAGGACAATCAGGAAAGAAGAGTCTTGAGTGAAGCACAAGATCACCACCTGATAAAGTGGTGACAGCACAGGTGGTGGCAGGCATGGTGACATGGAGACACAGAGCATCTGTGGGCTTCCAGGCCATGGACAAAGTAAAGCTGAATGCCTACAGGCAGGAGGCTGATTTGCAAAATGTGCCCTTAGGATATCAATAGACAGAAAGCACTAAAGGAGCTTGGTAACACTTGTCTGAGCAGGGCAGAAGTCAAAAGGCCACATAAATGAGAGGCTGAGGACAAGAAGCCAAGGACAAGGCATGTCTGCAGAATGGCAGAGCAGAGGTGTTCCTGACTAGAGGACTGATGCATTGAGTTGTACCCTGTTCACACCTTCTTAGTATAGTCCATGATCATAAATATTGTCTATGAGCTCTGTGTGACCACTGCAATGGATTATCAAACACAGATGTGAAGCAGATAAGTACTGTGAGAGGGATAGGGTTGGTGTCAGAAGAGTGCAAAGAAGGTTAAAGGGTAGAGGCATGTCTGACTAGGTGGGGCTGATGCAATGAAATGCGGGTCTCTTGTGATACAACAGTGAAGAATTGTTATCAGGACTGATTGTGAGG